TTTTTAGCCCTTACTGTCCAAATTTACTCAGAGGTTAAATGTGTGTTCCAATAGGAGGTACAACATATATGAACCTAAAAGGGATACGATTTGTCTAACACTCAATACAACTGTGTTTTACGTGAAGGTGAGACATTCATTCAGTCCTGCCGGCTTAATAGTAATAATTTTGAATGAGGTGGCCTTCTGTCCTTTGATATAATTTCAAAACAGAGATCAAGACAAGGTCACGTCCTTATATGTCCCTGGGGCTATAGTCCCCACTGTTGAAGTAACGAGCCACTGCCAATCACCTTATTTCCCACTTTCCATATGAGGTCATGTTCCCTAAAAGAAAAAAAACCTGCATTTTTAAAAGAGGGCTTTTTCTAGATGTTTGGTGTATTCCCTATCCTTCACGAATTTTTCCTGACAGACATTTTCTAAAAATCAATAGTAATATGAATTTGTATTACTATCTAGCTTCCTGACATGCACAAATCCTGTTGTCAAAAAGTGTCATTCAACTGGCATATTTTCATCCCAGTATGTTGACCACAACAGTGGTATTCCACTTATCCATCATATTCGTATACACAAATCCATAATAGAGTGTAGCCCTCATACGATCCCAGGAGTATGGGTTAAAATGCAACACCTCTCATATGCTCTACAATTATCTGAGAATTATATTACCTCTTAGTGGAGTTTCCTTTCTCTTACGCACTAATGTTTGAATTGGTAAACGCCAGCAGTTCCATAATGTATCCTTTTTTTCTGCAATCTACTGAGCATTCACAGATAAATATCTGAGAATATTTGGAAAAATTTAAAAAGTACATGCAAAGTGTTTTCGTTGGCCTGACCTAATTGCTGAAATGTTTTAAACAGTCGTGTATATTGCTTGCTTAATATATGTGATTTTATGATTAAATGTTAGTTTGATTTAAAGTGTTAAAACACGCAGGTCTGCCATGTAGAAGGGCGCGACGTATTTTACCGAACTTAGACCTGGTTTGTAAATAAAGGATTTGATTTATATTTTGTGTAGTAGCAATTAAGTGTGACGTGAGCATGTTTGTATCTTTATGAGACCTCCTTTGCCAGTAACAAGATATAGGAATAGGTTTTACCCTTTTAACTGGCACAAAAACTGACACCTTTATTCAAGGCATCATGTTTGCAATAACCACAACACAAGCAGTCAAAATGCAAACAAAAAAGACAACTCTGATAATAATATGCACTGTCCTTGAATTTGATTGGTCCACACCCGAGACAGCTTTTCTTAGAGCCTAGTCTCCACTGGTGTTGGACGAAGAAGACGCCAAAAGGCTTTCAACTCAAAAACAGCGAGGACCCAACGAGGGGCGAGTGCGGGAAGAGAGACGGAAAAGGAGGAGCCAGAGAGAGGGGAGAGAGCGGAAGGCGAGGAGATAGAGAGGGGGAGAGAGAGAGAGAGGGGGGATTTTGGAGGAGAGACATGTGAGACGGAGCGGGGTAGCTTCGGGAGAGAGGGAGGAAGGAAGGAGACGTGGACGGGAGGTGGAAGTGTGAAGAGAGCAAGAAAGAATAAACGGCGAGGAGCCCTGAGCAAAAATCTGGTCTCCATGTGAATCTAAATACCCGGGGTGACCAGGAGGACGACTCTAAATTTGTTTAAAAGTGCAGCCCTGAAATTAATGCGAAGGTCACTGATGGCAGAAGGGCCTCGACTAGACCGAGCTTTAAACCCCTCCAGAACGTATTTGGTCTACTCTTCCACACTGCTCAGACGCCTTGGAAAAAGTGACAGTAACGCACACTTTAGCCCCTGCCCCACACTCGATCTGGTAATTAACTGTGTTGTACTCATTTATACTCCTGGGTGGACGGAGGTGGAGCGATTCACGAAACCTGCCCATTTGTTCATCTGCTGAGCGGGGAGGTCTAATTTGAAGACCTCTGAAATGCAAATCCAGTGTGCTCAGACTACACAACAACAGCATCCCATGTTTGCATTTACAAATGCATCTGTATAGATGTTTGTTATGTGAATGTATTGATATGTTTCCAAGAGCACTCCAACTTGCTATCCTGCAGGTGAATTCGTAATTTTGATTCGACTGCACCTTCGAATACTGCCCTAGGTTTATACACTGTTATGTGAACTCAATGGTGAAAATAACTTACTCATGTTAGAATCAGAATATTTATTTATACTGGAGTAATCCAATGAGCTATGAAGCTCATTTTTCACAAATGTCCGGTAGGGGTGGGTCCCAACGTTACAACAACAAACAAGAAAAGGTGTTTTATCTATTTAATTTATTATTTTCTCTTTCTACGTGACTTTACCAAAAGAACCAAAGAGTAATTCCTGCAGTCACGAAAGCTTCAAATCAAGTTTAATACAAATACACACAATAGTAGTGAAAAGCATAGGAAAGTTAAGCAAATCACTAAAAAAATACAAATTAAACTATGTTTTATTTTACCAGGTAAAGCCCACTGAGCTATGAACTTATTTTTCAGAAGCGACCTGGCCAGAAGTAATAACTCCAAGATGGGGGTTAATTATCACCTGGAAATGTATAGCAGCCAAATAATGTAAATACTATACTTGGTTCTTTCGGTAAAGTCACGTAGAAGGGAAACAATAAAATAATAAAAATATAAAACATTATTTAATTTTTTCCCTTCTACGTGACTTTACCGAAAGAACCAAGAATATGAATGCCAGCAGTCACGAAAGCTTTAAATCAAAATGTAAATACTATACTTATTGGTTATTTCGGTAAAGTCTCCTGCTGAGGCAGACCATGCTTTCTCACCTGATGATGGACGCTTGTGTTGCGCCCGAAGCGTCGTGATTTATTTTATTTTATACCTACGTGACTTTACCGAAAGAACCAAAGAGTATGGATTCCTGCAGTCACGAAAGCTTCAAATCAAGAATGTAAATATTGTACTCTAAACGCATGTTTATAAATGTGGAGCGAAAACCGGATAACCCAGAGAAAAAAATCCACACGACCACGGGGAGAGAGACATGGAAACTCCACATTTACAGGCATCATGGTCAGGATTGAATCCCCGACCTGTATACTAGACGAGGAAGATCACATCACACCTCATGCTTAATAATGCGTCTATTTGTTGTTTATCATATTGACTGTTAAAAGAGTGGGTGATTGTGGTCGGTTTTATTTGTTAACGTAGGTAAGAAATATTGAGCCTCAAGCTTATTTACGGGAATGACCCGCCGAGAACATTGGTGTAAACTAAAGAGTTACAGCAATTAAAGCATAATATTGCGGACGCAATCGAGGGAAACAATATTCACGTGGCTCGAAGTAGGGATTATGGTGCCGGTGGTCGAGATTTAACGACAGAGGAGCAGCCAAACCGATAGTACGTGCCTCTGAGAGATGGAGCGATGAAATCACATTGTGTGCAATAACTACATTTTGAACATTTGACCGATTGGTCTAAATTACCGCGCCTCCTGTGAAGGTGTCCTGCCTTGTATAGCCCTGTGAGCCATTCGGCTCTGCCAAATAAATGAAACTGAAAAACTGAAACTGAAACTTGTGTGAGAAGCTGAGATTATGGTTCGGAATGTTGACTTAATGGGTTCACTCCTGTTTCGTGATAACTTTCTTTGTTGTTTGTGCCCTTTGTTGTGGTGCCATTTCATGATTTGTTTATTCATTTCGATTCTCTGCAGTAGTAGCTACATATAGACTTTAACCCTTATATATAATAAATGTAGTGTTGTGGGATGCAATTAGCATGAATAACGCTACACAGTACGGTATATCAAATTATACAAAAAGTTAATTGCTTAGTGGGATTTACTTGGTAAAATTAAAACAAGTTTTGTAAAAACACTTAAGTCGTGGGTTCGATTCTGACCCTGACTTCTGTGTATTTGGAGCTTGCATGTCTCTCTCTCCCCGTGGCTGCGTGGATTTGTCTCTGGGTCCTCCGGTTTTACCCTCCGCATTTAGAAACATGCGTCTAAAATATTTGTCTTCTATGCATTTCCACATGATGTGCCACTTTGTTGAGCAATCATTTGTGGCCAGGGCACTGCTGATCTATATAGCTCAGGGGGCCTTATCAAGTAAAATAAATAAAATAGTTCTTAGTTTAAAGTGATTTGTTGACCTTTCCTATTCTTTACACTCCGATCGTGTTTTTGTATTGTTTGTTGTTGTAACATTCTGACTCGCCCCTACTGGATATCTGTAAAAAAAAAGCTTTATAGCTGATCGGATTCCTCCAGTACGAAACAAAATATAATGTTTCTCAAATAATTATGTTATTGATATTCATCTTCTTTGGTTCTTTCGGTAAAGTCACGTAGAATGAGAATAAAATAATAAATTGAGAATTTGTATTGTGTTATTTTATTTGATCAATTTATTATTGTATTCTCATTCTACGTGACTTTACCGAAATAACCAAAGAAGATGAATCCTTGCAGTCACGAAAGCTTTAAATCGAAAGTTATTGATATTCTTTGGGTCTTTCGGTAAAGTCACGTAGATAGGTTCAAAGAAAATAATAAAAAAAACTACGACGTTTCGATCGCAACACAAGCGGTCGTCATGATGAAGAATATTAATTCCTGCAGTCACGGAAGTTAAGTCAATAATTGTATTTTGATTTAAAGCTTTCGTGACTGCAGGGATTCATATTCTTGGTTCTTTCGGTAAAGTCACGTTTTATATTTGTATTATTTTATTGTTTCCCTTCTACGTGACTTTACCGAAAGAACCAAGAATATAATGTCAATAATTATATCATTCTTTGACTATGGACGCACGTGCTTTTACTATTTGCGTGATGACGTCACCCCTCCCCCCCCGCTTTGTACCGACGCGGCGTCAGCACGCAGCCGCGGGACGACGTCACGACCCACACGCGCGTTTTGCGCGACGACGTCACCAGGTGTTCCGCCGACGCGATGACGTCATCGCGCACGCTCGCCTACAAAACCGCGGTCACCTCGCGCCTTGGGGGCGGTCCCCCCCCCATGCCCCCCCCCCTTCAGCGGTGGTGCGGGGCGGGGCGAGCGAGTTCGGCCAATCGCGAGGCGCCTTACCGCTCGCGCACGATGCGTGACGCGTAAACCCGCCCGCGTCCAATGAACGACGCGGTTGTTGACCCGGTGGCAACACCCCCCCCCACACACACACCTCTTGCTGTGTGCATCGAGCGAAGCGTGGATCCCACGCACGCCACACACCCACACCTCCCCTCAGAGACCCACTCCAGCAAATCGGTGTTTTATTTTTTTTGTTTGCTTTAATCAAATTCGTCCATTGCCTTTCGCAGACCGCTCTTCGAAGCTACGAACATTACATTCAGCGCGGCGGACGAGCGAAAGGTGAGCGCCGCGGACGCGGTTGAATGGGTGGCGGCGGCGGCGGGGAAGGTCGCGCCGCGTTGAGAGGGGCCCATTGTGAGCAGCGCAAGGCGTGAGGAGGAGGGCTGGTGGTGGTGGTTACGAGAGACTCCTCGTCTCTCTCCACTGCTGGATGAGGGCATTCCGCACGGCCCGTGCCGTAGGCTCTGGTAGATGACCACACATTAACCGAAACCGCCCCCCTTCTTCTGATCGTGTGGTTTGAGGGCGGGAGCATAGGCGTAACCAGGGAAGAGGAAGGCAAGTACTGTACAACACCTGATTTTTGCTGCGCGGTCCGCAACGTTTCCATTTGAGTGCCCGATGTAAAAAAAAAATCGATATCCAAGCCACAGTGTCACTGGATATACAACCCAAACTGTGGACAATAATCGTAAACCATTGTAGTGTGCGCTCCTTCAGTTGAATAACAAAAACTACACGAACTCATTAAAGCCCTTGTCGTGGCAAGTAGCCTCCCATTTCCACGGATGTTTACGTACGGCGCGAAATAAGTTATATAAAGTACAGTGTATACAAGCAGACTTCGACATTGGCGTCTAGCTCCTTATTACGTACGCAAGAATACAATTGTATCCTATTTTGATTTAAAGCGTTCGTGACTGCAGGGATTCATATTCTTGGTTCTTTCGGTAAAGTCACCACGTAGAAGGGAAGCAATAAAATAATGAAGAAAAAAATGTAATTATTGCTTTATATTTTTATTATTTTATTGTTTACCCTTCTACGTGGTGACTTTACCGAAAGAACCAAGAATATGGTATACTATGTTCACACAAGCACACCGTCCAGTACCTTACTCGTTGGTTCTATTGGGTAAAGTCACGTATGTAAAAAATAAAATAACAAAAATCACGACGTTTCGACCACAACACAAGTGGCCTTCATCAGGTGACAGGTTGGTCCGGAGGACAGGCTGGTCCCTTCACCTGATGAAGGCCACTTGTGTTGTGGTCGAAACGTCGTGATTTTGGTTATTTTATTTTTTACCTACGTGACTTTACCCAATAGAACCAAAGAGTATGGATCCTTGCAGTCACGAAAGCTTTAAACCCGTCCAGTACCTGCTTCGCTTGCAGGCGATATCTGGCGCGTTTTGGGCGATGTGGTTCTGGGAAGCGTGTCTTCACAACGGAATGGTTCTTCACTTTGTTGGGATCGTGCCTTGTTTTACTTGGCACACTCCACCCCCCCCCCCCCCCCCCCCCCCCCCTCAATTTCTTGTGTGGTTCATCGGAGAATACGATGTCAGGGCCATGCGCGACATGGCGCCAATATGATCGTCACTGTGGGACGACTTTCACACGTGTTTGAAGGTAGACGAAACACACTCTGGTTTGTACGTAGAGCTCCTCGATCGTAAACAACTGCATTTTTCGTTATCTTTCGTTGTCCTATGATGTCAAAAATTACTCCTTTTGGGTGCTAGTTTAGCGATTTGTTATAGTAGTAGGTGTGGTAGGTCACCTGAGTTTTCTGTCCACAGTACCCGCTTAGAGATGAACGCAAAAGTCCCTCCGTTCAGATTCAGTCTACTTATAGGGGACACGTGATGTAAGCGAGCACCTATTAAGCTAACGTGGACAGCACCACACCTGCACGTGTTTCCCGAACCCACCAGATTTCCACCAATAGCCCAGTCAGCATTAAGATTGAGATACCACTCGCCACTGTGACGTTGCGCATTGTGCATAGCCAGGAGTCTAACCGAAGTTATCCAAGATGCAAGGGGCAGCGCACGGACGGACCACTGTACCACCACGAGAACTTGGTCACGTGTGAGCCTTTATCTTAACGGCGCCACGCACAAAGGGGTCAGCCATGCGCGAGCGTCTCAGTCAATAGGGGAAGTTGGAGGAAATTAAGACTTAGAAGGGGGGCTTAGGTTAAACCCACTTATAGCAGAACGTGAGGATCTGCTTGAGCTGTGGTTTGTTTGTAGGTAAGGGGCTCAAAACATGACACTACAACCGTCACGAACACTTCGCTGAGATCCTGTGAACGGGTAGATGGACTCTATATATAAAGTGCCTCCTTGTTAAAGTGAGCATGGGTTGATGAGCATCCCTTCCGACCGTGAGCCAGCAGTGGAAATTCCACATTACCGTGGCAGAAGCTGAACTTTAGGACAACCGCTGTCGACTTACCACAAAGTAGAGTCAACTCATACTCTTTGGTTCTTTCGGTAAAGTCACGTAGGTATAAAATAAATCACGACGTTTCGGGCGCAACACAAGCGTCATCTGGTGACGGACGCTTGTGTTGCGCCCGAAATGTCGTGATTTATTTTATACCTACTACGTGACTTTACCGAAAGAACCAAAGAGTATGGATTCTTGCAGTCACGAAAGCTTCAAATCAAGATCGAATCAACTCGTAATTTAATTTAATTTGCAACGTTTTCCCATTGTGTGCCGAGAGCTCTGGCCAAAGTGACACCTCACCTGATAGTAAATGACGGTCGACTGCTGAATGAAAGCAACTACATGTTAAACTGCTCTACCACCTACAGTATCTGGTGGGACACGTGTGCAGGATGGAGGACAGGTTACTGAGGTGGGAATTAGGAGTGCCACCAGATCTTTCCCTTGATGATTAAATTAAATAAACCCTTAAACCATATTGTAAGGCACCTGTAAGAGCAGACCTTAGGAGGGCGGGTGTAAACTGTGCAGAAGCAAAGGAACATACCATATGTAAGATCTCTTGCTTAACTTCATCTGTACTGGGTATATAATGATTCGCTGTACCTTGTCGTTGGGTGCATTGTGATTTGGAGTTAGTTTTATTCAGTAAAAACATGTTGAGTTTGTACTACCGGTCTCATCTGTACTGTATATTTTATATGCACTTTTTAACTGCGCTGTCACCTTAATGGTGTTTTCTCTTATTTGTTCTTCATCATTCGTTACTTTAGCCTCTATAAAGTGTTTTAATGGATAAGCAGTGGCGCAGTGGTTTGCACACTGGACCTGGCAACCTCGGTTTGAATCCCAGCCACGGATACCCATCGGTGGCTTTCATTGGCTCGTGATATCTGAACTGGTCTTGGGCCCACCCTTAAACTCATACTATCCAGCATTTTGAATCGTGGTCAATACACTTCCATGCTTGACAGCATGGGGGAGGCCTTCATCCATCAATCAATTGACAACTTGCTCATATAATTTGTATAACTCCGAAACTATTTTCACGCAATTTCATCAATGCATCCTGAGTATTGTCTCTATGTATGCGTGTCTGTATATATAATATTATCTGTTACCCAGTAGCTATTGTTAGGAACTATTCATATGGCAATTAAAAAAACTGTCCATCAAAAAACATGTTTATAAGTTTAATTCTCATCAGACCGCATGGTGACGAAGTGCAGTCTCCAACTTTCTACTATCCACTCATTCTCTTTGGCCACTCGATATTTTATCAAGCAGGGCCCATTACCCAATACATTACCTATTATATATATTTTTCATTTTCAGGCCACAGTGTTCTTGATTAATTTGTTGAAGTTTTTTGTTAATACAGCATAACCAAATAATGTGAATATGCGTATACATACTTTATTGAAACTGACATAAACAGTTATCTTGGTCAACAGAACAGTGAGTTTAATTTTGACTTGAAGCTTTCGTGACTGCAGGAATTTCCTGAAGACGACCGCTTGCGTTGCGATCGAAACGTAGTATTCTGTTATTTTTTATTAGTTTCTTTGAACCTATCTACGTGACATTACCGAAAGACCCAAGAATAGTGAGTTTAATATCAATTATACGTCAACATTCATGTACTCCCACTCGGTGACAATTTATAAAAATAAGCAGTTTCAATGGGGATAACCATTGATAGAGGGGATGTGAAGGAAAGGGAATCTCGGCTATTTATAAAGACTGAGAGGACAACGTAACATCTGACGGAGGTAAAGTAGAACCTCTCTCAACGACCACCCCTGTCAACAACTAATTGCTTAACGACGAGCCTCCAATGCCCAATGTGTAGTGTATAGTAGTGTAGAGTAGAACCCCTCTTAGCGACCACCCCTGCTAACGACTAATCGCTTAACGACGGGTCTCCATAGAGTCCAATGTGTTCGCTTACCGACCATTCCCCTGTTAACGACAGGCTGTGTTTCTTTTAATATTATGTGTTTATAATATTGTTAGTAGCTTTATGTATTAATATCCATTGTTTAAATATTAGTACTTTTTTTGGTGAAAAAGGGTAACTTTCGATGCTATCAGAACAAATTAAGCTTTTAAACATGTTTATCCTAGACTCGCTGAACGACCAAACCACTTAACGGCCAGTTTCATGGAACCCATTACCGTCATTAAGAGAGGTTCTATTGTTAAGGAAAATACGTGGATGTCGAATATGAGAACATCTATAGAAAATTATCGTTATGCCACGCGTGCACGAATAAATTAATAGGACAAAAATAATGCGAAAATTGCTTTCGACATGATTTACTGTACTTTGGAAGTAGGCAAATGTATACCAAATTAAGAATACGTGACTTCATGAAAAGCTTTGTGATTTGTGAACCTATAGGAAATTATGGTTACACCGATCACAAATACTGCACTCTGTGTGGGCGGCAATTGGTCAGAGTGGATATATGACGGCCACGTATATGGCGCTGTGCTGTGTCAATCTTAATCCAATGAATCTTCACTTTCCTGTTCTGTAACTCGGTATCGTTCGACCCAATCTCCCCTGCACCTTTTCTGGTGGTTGCCAGGCCAGGATGTCGACAGCGGCGTACGTGCGCTATGTGAGCCCATACCGGGACTTTGGCGCGTGGCTCGGCTCGCACGGCATGAAGGCGCCCTTCGCCAAGGCAATGGAGCGGGAGCTTGGCATCGGCGACTACGACGACTTGTTGGCATGTGCCGAGCCTCTCGGCGTACGCGGAGAACTCTTCACGGCCGCCAAGGAGAAGCTGCCGTTCGCGTGCTACGCCGTGTTGCGCCGCATCATTGAGTCGGTAGCGCACGGCCACGCGGGCGATGCCGGTGGCGATGGTGGGCGCAGCAAGCAGCAGCAGCCAGCACCACCCCACGGTGCTTGCATCAGTGGCGTGCTCGACACCATCGTGTCCATGCTCAACAGCCTGAGCCAAGAGTTCCTGAATTCGGCGCGCAAGTTCAGCTCCCTGGACCCTGCGCTTGGCAGTAGCGGCGGCAACAATGGTTGTGATGACGTGGATAAAAGAGATAATGGAGATAACGGCGGTTGTGGTGGTGGTGGTGGAGGTCGCGGTGGTGGGCGTCCGGTGCTGCTGGCTCGGGCTGCGGTGGCATCACCTTCAGAAGCAGGTGCGTGGGGCCGGGGTGGTGGTGTGGGTTGAGCTGTGTGAGGGGTAGAGGGTGGCTAAAACACAGCAGGTTGGCACAGTAGGGGGCACAGGTGGTGCATCAGCCAGTCATCTCAGTCAGTCGACCTGTGGCACCTGGGTCTGCCCCGTGACCTCCTGCCAGCGGGCGTTCGACACTTCACGTGGCCTCAGGGTGCACATAGCCTGGCACAAGCGTCGTGGTGACGTCCCCGCCACTTAGTGGCGAATGGCGGTTGTTGTTGGGGTAGAGGTGGATACGAGAGAGGTGGAAGTAACAAAAAGTTAACCTTCTTTGGAAAGCACACCTTTGATTTAACTTGGCCTGTGAAGATCAAAGTGGAGAATTAAAAGACCCTAGGAAGGCAGAAGCTTAAAAAATAGAGTATCTTGATGTGTACCTTCACAAGTTTCCATCAAATGTTGGTTACGTCAATGCGTATCGATGGCACGCGCGTTCAACAATCGCCAAGCACGAAGCATGCGTGGGATTTTTTTTAGCTTCACCTTCAAGTAAAAAATTAGGTTGTTCAACAGTAATGTTTTGTTCCACGTCTCTCGTATTCACGCACCGTCTCGCGCACAGGTGACGCGGAGGAGCTCGACATGAAGTGGGAGTCGGCATCCGTGCAGGAGCTGGAGCCGCCCGAACTGGATGGCCCCGAGCTGGACGGAGTGACCCCAAAACGCCGCCGCGCAGTTGATGGTGACGATAGCTCCTCGTTGGCGGGCCGAGCCATGGGGGGGGGTGGCGGTGACGACGACGGCGACGGCACCACAACCGGCAATGCCGACGGCACCAGCAGCGGTGGTGTTGGCAACAGCTGCGGCGAGCCGTGGGCGGGCGGGCGCTTCGTGTGCTGGCAGTGTGGCAAGACGTTTGTGCATGGGAAGAGCCTGCGGCGGCACCAGCGCGTGCACACGGGCGAGCGGCCGTACGCGTGCGAAGCGTGCGGCCGGCGCTTCATGCAGTACAGCACGCTCAAGTCGCATCGCATCACGCACACGGGAGAGAAGCCCTACAAGTGCGAGTGTGGCAAGGCCTTCACGCGCAACTTCTACCTCAAGCAGCACAAGATCGGCCAGTGGTGGGTGGTGCTGTATGTACAGTGAGGGAAAAAAGTATTTGGTTCCCTGCTGATTTTGTACGTTTGCCCACTGACAAAGAAATGATCAGTCTATAATTTTAATGGTAGGTTTATTTGAACAGTGAGAGACAGCATAACAAAAAAAAAATCCAGAAAAACGCATGTCAAAAATGTTATAAATTGATTTGCATTTTAACGAGGGAAATAAGTATTTGACCCCTCTGCAAAACATGACTTAGTACTTGGTGGCAAAACCCTTGTTGGCAATCACAGAGGTCAGACGTTTCTTGTAGTTGGCCACCAGGTTTGCACACATCTCAGGAGGGATTTTGTCCCACTCCTCTTTGCAGATCTTCTCCAAGTCATTAAGGTTTCGAGGCTGACGTTTGGCAACTCGAACCTTCAGCTCCCTCCACAGATTTTCTATGGGATTAAGGTCTGGAGACTGGCTAGGCCACTCCAGGACCTTAATGTGCTTCTTCTTAAGCCACTCCTTTGTTGCCTTGGCCGTGTGTTTTGGGTCATTGTCATGCTGGAATACCCATCCACGACCCATTTTCAATGCCCTGGCTGAGGGAAGGAAGTTCTCACCCAAGATTTGACGGTACATGGCCCCGTCGATTGTCCCTTTGATGCGGTGAAGTTGTCCTGTCCCCTTAGCAGAAAAACACCCCCAAAGCATAATGTTTCCACCTCCATGTTTGACGGTGGGGATGGTGTTCTTGGGGCCATAGGCAGCATTACTCCTCCTCAAAACACGGCGAGTTGAGTTGATGCCAAACAGCTCCATTTTGGTCTCATCTGACTACAACTCTTTCACCCAGTTGTCCTCTGAATCATTCGGATGTTCATTGGCAAACTTCAGACGGGCATGTATATGTGCTTTCTTGAGCAGGGGGACCTTGCGGGCGCTGCAGGATTTCAGTCCTTCACAGCGTAGTGTGTTGCCAATTGTTTTCTTCGTGACTATGGTCCCAGCTGCCTTGAGATCATTGACAAGATCCTCCCGTGTAGTTCTGGGCTGATTCCTCACCGTTCTCATGATCATTGCAACTCCACGAGGTGAGATCTTGCATGGAGCCCCAGGCCGAGGGAGATTGACAGTTCTTTTGAGTTTCTTCCATTTGCGAATAATCGCACCAACTGTTGTCACCTTCTCAAAGCTGCTTGGCAATGGTCTTGTAGCCTATTCCAGCCTTGTGTTGGTCTACAATCTTGTCCCTGACATCCTTGGAGAGCTCTTTGGTCTTGGCCATGGTGGAGAGTTTGGAATCTGATTGATTGATTGCTTCTGTGGACAGGTGTCTTTATACAGGTAACAAGCTGATATTAGGAGCACTCCCTTTAAGAGTGTGCTCCTAATCTCAGCTCGTTACCTGTATAAAAGACACCTGGGAGCCAGAAATCTTTCTGATTGAGAGGGGGTCAAATACTTATTTCCCTCATTAAAATGCATATCAATTTATACCATTTTTGACATGCGTTTTTCTGGAATTTTTTGTTGTTCTGTCTCTCACTGTTCCAATAAACCTACCATTTAAATTATAGACTGATCATTTCTTTGTCATTGGGCAAACGTACAAAATCAGCAGGGGATCAAATACTTTTTTCCCTCACTGTAGGTGTGTTTGTACATGTGTATTGTGTGGGAGTGGTGGTGTAGTGGTTCGCGTGCTGCACATTGAATCCGGCGGCCCGAGTTCCATTCCCACTCCCGGCCAACATCGCGGATGATTATCTGAACAGGTCATGGGCATCCCCTAGGTCGACTCAGCCTCACATTAGTATCTGGGGAAATGTGTAAATATGGCCACTCGGGAGACAAAGGCACCCGGGCGTTGGTGCAGGCCACCCAATCCTTCGTGTGGCATTCTGGTCCTCATACGTGCTCGCTTGCAGCACTTGCCCCCAGTCTGTTAAGGCTATAAGCAGGGTCTTTGTAGGGAGTGGTAGTGTAGTGGTTAGTGCACTGCGTTACACATACGGGGAACCAAGTTCAATTCCCATCGGTGATGAATATCTGAATGGATCCTGGGCCCTCCCCTAGGTCGACTTGGTCTGGTGTGGTGTGAAAACATCAACACTGTGGAGACGAAGGCAGCCAGGTGCAGTGTTGGCTATCCACACACACCCCTTGTGTGCCGTATTGGCCTTCGTTAGGCACTCGCTAACAGCACCTGCTCCAACAGGCTTTTAAAGGCTATGTCGAGAAAAAAATTTGGAGTGGTAATGCCATGGTTCATGCACTGCTTTATGAACCGAACAGCCCGAGGTTGAGTCCCACTCACGGCGTGGTGTGTAAATGTCAGCACTTGGAAGACAGATGGCTGGCTGTGGTACTGGCTGCACCACACCCATCCTTTACTGTTCCAGCTTTAAAGGAAGATGCAACACAAAAACTGAACAACTCTTGTAAACATGTCCCTAGGCCAGGAGTGGGAAAATTTTTTGACTCGCGGGCCACAATGGGTTCTAAAATTTGACAGAGGGGTCAGGCCAGGAACAGATGGATGGAGTGTTTGTGTGAACTAATATAAATGACGTGTAAAAATCATTACATGAAAGGATTTGGCCTTTAACAGGTAGCAAAGCATTTATTTGCAAGGCAATTTAACAAATTGCACGAACATGAACAATACAAAAACATGTAACTCCCGGTCAAAGTGCGCCACCTAATGGGGAAATGGGGGCATTACAGGAGAAAGGAAAAATTTAATGTAATAATAATATTTGGACAAGTTCGGCGGGCCGGATTAAAAAGCCCAACGGGCCGTACTTTGCCCATGTCTGCCCTAGGCTATGAGTCGTAGACTATCCAGTGCCAGTTTTAAGCTTTTTTGTAAGGTTTGTCAACAACTTTCTTGGTATGGCACACAAATTTATATCACTTGATGTATTCCACCTCGATTCCGTCTGTAGTTAAAGCCACCATTTGACCCATATTTCATTGTGACACCATCTACTGCCTAGCTTCTGAGTCTACCTTAAAATGTATAATTCCCTAACTATCAACCATTGTAAAACAATTTTTATTTCACCAGGTAAGACCCACTGAGCTATATATCTCTTTTTCAAAAGCAATCTGGCCAGAAATGATAGCTCAACAAAAGTGGCTTACGTAGAAATTTATTGCAGCCAAATACTCTTTTTTTTATCAGCCAAATGAACACATTTCAAAATGTGAAGGGAAAAACCGGAGGACCCAGAGATAAATCCATGTGACCATGGGGAGAACATGCAAACTCCAAATATATCGGCTTTGGGGTCGGAATCAACCCCACAACCTCCTGCATACCAGGCGAGGGAGTAAGCATCTCGCCACCGTGGTGCCGATTCCATTATACCACTCCATTCTCAGTTTTGCCCTTGACTCCGCTGAAATAATTAATCCTTGCAATCTGTACATTAACTCAAAGCTGTTCCCTCTGGATATCTGGAGAGAGCTGTTTTCGTGCTAAAGGTTCTCTATAACAATTTCGCCAATAACCTAAAGGCCCACATAGTTCCTCTGACTCCCTCCCATAGCCTCAGAAGCTCCTCTTTTATTCCTACTTAAAATTCCATTGGCTTAAACTTTGCTTGCTCAAAAGTCTCTCAGCATGGATGCTCCACGTATCTGGAACACGCTTGCTGGTCATCTCCAACTTGGTTCCCTGCCGTGACGCTCCCTCTCAACTTTCCTACTTCCTATTAAACCAAAACACAGAGCTTGCATGTGTAGTGAGTCCAACTTGGTCACAGACGTTATCTTGGGAGCAGCACTATTTATTCGCACAACAGCACGAACATAACACAACCTACGCTCGGGCCTCGAATGCCCATCTAACCACGCTACGGCAGAAATAGACCCAGTTCGCTATCCCGGTCCGGACCACAAGCTGGGTCCCAGACCGCGTGGCTAGAGGCTTCTCCCCGACGTGGATCTTCGAACACCCAACACTTGAAGAACCCCGAGCTCCTCACGGAGCTCTCGTTATATGCTACAGGGCTGGGGTTGGCTCCTCCCTTAGCCCCGCCCACCTTCCAGGCTCCTCGAGCACCTTCTCGAATGTTCCCGAGAGCTCTCCGGGACCACGTGACCGGCCCTCGGCCCCCGTCCACCGGTGGCCCTCTTCCAGTATCGTCCGGTCACGTATCAGCAGGTCAGCCAGAGTGTCATGCCCCAGAGTAACCCTGGCTGGCTGACACTCGCTCTCGCTCCCTCACTGGGAGCTGGCACCGCACATTGCTTGCGGTGCCTCCGCACTAACCAGCGCTCACCCAACCACCGCTAGTATTGGTACTGCAGCCCGCAATCCGGGCTGCCCGCAATGACAACATTACCGGCCGTGACTTCGCAAGTCCCGGCACCACACAGTGACAAGTACAGTCACTACACATGCACCTGTACCTAACTCTTGCGCCTTCATGTTTGCACTGTCTTTTTAGATTTTAGTGTGTTGCTGTTAGACCAAAATATAGAGCTTACGTGGACCTGTACCTGCCTTTTCACATTACACTTGCACTATTTTTTACCAGTGTATGTTTTGTTTAAGACCGTTAAATACCTCGTTCATTAACTACAATATTCCTTAAGAACCCGCTACTTTTTTGTAATATGGATGTTTTTGTCTTTGTTTTGTCGTTGCTGCGGTCACTCACCATGAGAGTTTGCATGTTCTTCCCGTGGTGGCATTGATTTTTCTCCGGGCCCTCCAGTTTTTCCCTCCACATTTAGAAACATGTGCTTAGATTATTTAGCTGCTATAAATTTCCACATGATAAGCCTAGTCTCTCATTTGTGGCCAGGTCTCTTTTGAAAAAGATCTATATAGTTCAGTGGGTCTTACCTGGTAAAATACTTTTTATTTTACTTAAAATATCTGGGCAATTGGATATACAGGACCAGCTGTCTAACAAATAAAATAAACTTAGAACATTAAGTGATATCGTGGTGACTTTACAAGCATGCCTTAATGACATGTCTGGCCATTACTTGAATGTATCTATTCCTCATTGTATTATGCTCTCCACTTGATTTGGCTACATTCCAGCCCTGATAATTAAAATATATAGGCTTGACTGTCATTTGACACTCTGAAGGAGGGTGGGTGGGAAAGTGCTGCCCCATAATGTGGTCCACGGATGTCAGAAGTAGTTGCAAGATTACTTCTTCCGTCGACTATTCCCTTAACACAGAGGGTTTCATTGCCATGCAAAAGTTATTCATTAATGGTTTTTTCATGGGATATCAAAAGCATAATTGAGATGAAAACATGGATTTTTTAAAATAACTTCCATGTGCTGCCTCTCCAGCTAAGGTCAAAAGATATTGTATTAGCTTTGTCCATCTGTCTGAAGGCAGGACTACAATAACTCTTACATATTTAGACACTGAATTAATCCAAACCATACTGTGCTGTTTTTGCAAAAACCCAAAGACTCGCACAGATTACAATATACTCAGACCTTTATATTTACCCAAAGGCATTTTCCTCTTATCAACAAAACTATAAACTTTTTATTTTACTAGGTCAGGCCCACTGAGGCATTCTAGCTCATTTTCAGAAGCGACCTGGCCACAAATGATAGCTCAACAAAGTGGCTTATGTGGAAATGTATAGCAGCCAAATACTCTGAACGCACGTTGATTCTAAATGGGAAAAACCGGAGGACCCGGAGAAAAATCTACGCGACCACGAGGAGACACGAGAAACTAAAAAAATACAGGAATCGTCAGGGTCGGGATCGAACCCTACCAACTCCTGCATAGAAAGCGAGGGAGTTAACATCTCTCCCCCGCGGCACCTACTCACGCAGAGGTGCACCCCGATGACTTTAAAGAACGTGTCTTTTCCCCCCGCACAGTGTGCTCAAGTGCTCTGACCTGTCGGGGATGCTCGTGGATGACAAGTCTGCGTTGGAAGACGACTGTGTCGCGCCGCTTCCCGAAAGTGATGCCCGAGAGGACGTCGAGCGCTCGCCTCCACCCCTCTCCGTCGTCAAACTGGAGCCCGACGAGGAGGACGAGAGCGCGCAGAGCTGAGCCGGGGGCGGTGCTGCATTGCGCGGAAGGCCACCCAGAGATGACAGCCAGTCATTCCACCGCCGCCGCTGCTGCGAATGCCGCTCGTGAGCGGAGCCTGGCGATGCCCAGCACGTGTTGCTGCTACTCAAACGTGCTCACCAGTGTGTGGAGCCCGGCCGTCTGATGAGTGTTACACTATGCACGCGCACAAGGCTGAGCAGGGCTTAATTTCTTGCCAAATTATTTCCAGGATTGCCGATAGACTGGAGCATACCTAGGGCTCATCTTAAGCACAAACACGGCATCATTGTTGACTGAAATTTCACTTACAATTAACATTGTGGTTGTAATTCATTATGAATTGCACAATTGTAATTGACCAGAGGAGTAGACATGTGATGAGAGCCACAGCTGTCGCGAGTATGAGAATATTTTCCCAGTTTCACTGACCTGGACCGATCTGGCAGAAATGAAGCCCTGCAGCTGAGCAATTAGTCTGTTGATTGAAACATGCTTTCCTGGCGCTCAGTGCCCGGTAAAGTGCTGCTGCGCTCTTGCTCGCGTGCAAGTCAGCGCTGCATGCCTCGTGTGCAGCCGAGCGCCCAGCAAAGTCGCTCTATACATGAACGCAGCTGAGTGATGAGACTGTTAATGTTCAAAGCACACACACACACACGTGTGTGCATGTGCAGAGCTGCCTGCCTGAAGGTTGCTGCTCTTTCGCTCGCATTGAGCTGAATTCTGTGAATTGGCGAGCTCCCAGTAGCAGCCAAACACTTGGGAGCGGAGTGATTAGTGGGTATTGGGCATGCAATGAATCATCAGTCAGGATCTATTACCTACAAGATGCACGCATCAAAGCATGCTTTTAAGAATCGGTTGTAATGACAGTGCAGCGCATTGTGCGAATCCTTATGAATCTAGCCATTGTTGACTTCTGCTTGCATCGACCTGAGCGAGCACCAGATGTCGATGCGCGTGCACACTGGTGTGAAGTCAAGCTCTTGGCGAATTACCGTGCGCACTCAAGTGAGGGCAGCCAAATACTGCATGTCACACATTAGTCTGTTCTGCTATAACGTGGTAGTTGCGTTTCTGAAGTACATCGCATTGTGGAAAAATCCCGTTATAATATAGGTTAAAGCACGCACAGTCCGTGATAACATGCGCGATGTGTGTGCAGGCCAAACAGTGTGAGGCGCATGGGTAGCATCTAGAAGCATCCAGCAGCATCCCACCATTGTGTGATGCTACACCGAGGCAGCCGTATAACCGCTTATTCATACTCGCATGACGTAGCTCTGTTCACTCAATCGCGTTATATTCAATTTGCATCCACGTTATAAAAAATGTTCCCTAATACATTCATCGCGTTGTATCCAATTCGCATTATGAAAACACGCGTTATATGAGAACAGACTACGTACCACCAGCCAGGCGGTCCATGTGTGGCTGACCGCTCGGTAGGTGTTACTGTCTAATCATGGAGCCATAAGCCAGGCAACGCCATACGCACGTTCTTGAGGACTTGGCAAGCGTCACCGCACATGCGGCCGCCTGCGACGAGGGTGCACAGCAAGCGTAACCACCGCGCATACGCACGCGCATTGAGTTCGACTACCCAGGAAACATCGCCCACTTGCGTGAAGCTGCAGGTTGGCGCCAAGCATCATGCGCACGGCACGGGTGGTAGCAGAGCAGATTGGTGCCGTGCAGGTACAGCGCTGGGAGCCTGGAGCTTAACGTCGTAGGTACAAGCGACGTGGAACCTTGAGACGTTGTTAGGCTCGTGCACCCATCCGAATGTGCGATCGCGAACTGAAAATTGGGCACCTACAAGTTGCCAATGGCTGGTGCTGCGTGCACACGGTTGGCAACTCCCATTGCTTTGTTTCCAACACCTGGGGCAACAACTGGCTGCTACCATCATTAGACCTCCTTTGCCAGTACCAAAATGTACTAATAGGGTTTTTCCCCTTTTTTCTGGCAACAAAACTGAAACTTTTTTTTACGAGGATTCATGTCTGCATTAACCACAATACCTGCAGACAAAATGCAAACAAAAAAACATACTATGATAATATATGCATTGTCCTTGAAACTGATTGGTCGACACCAAGGGACGGCTTTCTTTTGAGCCTCGACCCAATTGGTGCTCGACCAGATGACGCCAAAAGGCGTACAGCTCAAAGACAATGCACTATAAAAGTTTTGTTGCCAGAAAAAAGGGGAAAAACCCTATTACATTTTGGTACTGGCATAGGAGTTCTAATGATATGATGCTCACCCCGAGCCCTCATTACTTTGATAGTGCATTGTCTTTTGAGCTGTACGCCTTTTGGCGTCATCTGGTCGAGTGCCAATTGGGTCGAGGCTCAAAAGAAAGCCGTCCCTTGGTGTGGACCAATCAGTTTCAAGGACAATGCATATATTATCATAGTATGTTTTTTGTTTGCATTTTGACTGCAGGTATTGTGGTTAATGCAGACATGAATCCTTGTAAAAAGGTTTCAGTTTTGCTGCCAGAAAAAAGGGGAAAAACCCTATTATTACAACTGGCTGCTACTTTTGCAAGGGAACATGAGTGGTTTGGAAAGTATGCATTCTTTTAATCAGACTTTCTTTTTCAAGGTTAATTTTAATTCAACCATGCTTGAGACTTGTTCTTGGTAGTAAATTACCCTACTGCTATTGAAAGGTGGCTTTTTTCTTGCATTGAGCATTCGTTTGTTTTAATAAGGGATGTATCTGTTGAGGTGACTGCAGAAATTAATCTGCAAGCAAGTGTATATTCTGGATTTACTCTTTCTAGAAGAGCTGGCAGCTGGTACATGTGTGACGTTTGAATAATGCCTAAGATTTTTACGATATATTTTTTTTGCTATTGCCAGTGCTCCAGATATTTGCATAACTTGCTGTCCAATTTTGACATGATATGAGTACAATGTGTTTCCAGGATTATCATAACGAGCAACTTTGAAACTCATTTTTTTTATCATGTAGGCTCTCATAAACCATTATGCATGTTATATATTTTTTATGGTCCGATTACATAAATTAAATGTTTGGCTACTGCCTGATGATGCTGGTTGTAATTAGCCAAAAAAGCTGAGGAATTTTATTTGGGAAATGCACGAATTAGAGCCTTAAGTTTTAACTGCAGTCTTTGAACTGTAGAAAAACTTTGTACTCGTGTACAAAATCCTTGGTCTTACAAACGTGAGATTTTCCTCAATGAGCACTCCTTTACTAAGTGTGCATCACTTTTTTATCATGCAATTTTTTTCATTGGACCCATTGCATATCCAACGGTTACTCGCGATAGAATACTCAGGTTGTGTCCTCTGGGCTAGTGACTCTCCCTGTAGGGTGTCTATTCACGTTAGGGGGGAGGACGTTTTCTGGTTAAGTGGGGGGCGTGGGCGATTGAGGGAGGGTGAAGAGGGGGGTGGGCGGCGGGAATGTTCAGGACACGCTGTGAGTGAGTTATATTGAAATTCAAAGCTGTGGCAGTAAACTTGATTTGCATGTAAAAATGACATTTACATTCCATACGGAATTTTTTGTTTAATGTGTAAAACTACCACTCCATCGCTTATCTGGAGTGTTGTAGCATGACATCAGAGTAATGCCTAAGATTTTTTTTCAGCTGTTTCATTTTCCAACACTGGAAACATATGGATACTTTTTAGGACTTGAGACTTGGTTTCCGAGGACTAATGTACTGTATCAGTTTCTTGATGTTTGGCCCTCAGGAACCAGGGGCCCCGAGTACCGACCGAGCCAAGATTTGTCTAATATCCGATTCCCTGTGGGATTTACGCAAGGGGGATAATGAACATTTTTGAGATTCTACGGGGCTCCTTTTCTCAATTACTTATGTCCACACCCACACACAGACACTATCACAAGTACACATGCAGAGACTCAAATACGAGCAGAGAGACACACACACACCCAACGCACAAACATAGGTGCACAATTCCATACAGATACTGTCGCAAACATACAAAGAAAAAGGTAGCCCGTATAGTCTTTCAACAGACTGTTGAAAGGCTACCTATTAAATCCGGAACATGACAGATGCAGACAAAAACAATACATTACCTCTCACGCACACAGGCATCTCCACAGAGCAAGACACTCGAATGGTTATACACTCGCTCACACACTCGCACCAACAGATACACGCAAAATCACACCTTACTCTAAAAAACATTAAAAACAAATATACAAGTGGCCACAACCCGGCTGAAATGCACGGCGCGATGCTGTCACAGCAGTCATGTTGCACAGAGGCTCTTTTCTTTTGGTAGCTGAGTATCTAATCCATATTAATCACTCGTGTCCATCTTTTCAGAGTGGCGGAAACACGCACAGACACACGAGTTTTACACCACGCAATTTCGGTGCATACGCAAAATACTGCTTTGCAGGATTTACGTAGTTTTTCTGTACTCGGGCTCCAGGTTTTTCGGTTGGCGTCTTGATGCTTGCCTCCAAGTATACGATTCCAGATCGGTGACTAGACATGACTTAAGGAGGTGGTTTTTCTGGATCAATGTCATAAGACTTGGCATCAGGAGACTGGATTTTAGTACCAGAGTCTTGAGACTTGGATCCAGTAGAACAGGGCGACATTATCATTGTCTTGAGACCCAGCGCCAATAAACCAGGATTCAGGGTCACGAGAGACTGATGCAGAAGACTAACCTTCAGAATCAGTGTCTTGACGCGCATCTCCAAGAGACCAGAGGCCTGAGTACAGAAACTGTAAAATCTGACGGGCAGCGATTTATTTAGGGACTAAAATGCTGTCTTGTGAAAAGCAGAGTCCAGCAAACCCCTCCCTCTCGAAGGTTTGGCTATCGTGGTTTTGCACCACATTTATTGAGCTATAGTTTGTCGATCGTGCCACAGTGACTGGTCCATTCGCAGTTGATCTCGAGATTCCTGTAATGCATCGTAACTGTGCTGCTCGCGATGATTCTCCTGCGATAAACACGCGATCTTGTCTCCATCTTATCTCCCAATTGGCCCATCGCGATTCCCAGGTCACGTGTGCCCAGACTCCAGTAAGGGCGTGTGGTTCAGCCATACGATTGTGCTTTATGTAGTGTACAATACTGTACACTGCCTTTTTCCCATTCAATACATTTGCTGTAAAAGTCGTATTCAGATTTTACATTCAAAATACTTGCTGTTTAATGTTTGAGTTCATGTAGGATAACATAAAACAAAAGTAGGGGGTGTCGTATTGAGCCGTGAACCAAATACGAGTTTGCCCATATGCCTCCGAGTTTACGGATTTCTGCCCCCCACGATGGGCAGGGGTTTGCTCTATTTCGGTGTGCCAGTGAGATCGTCGAGATGGACTCATGGCAGTGATTTCTAGGATTACGCCATCACTTCTACTGCACCATCCAATCGTCTGCCAGGAAAACAATCTAATGCAACATGGCTACCGTTGAATCAAGTCCCTGTGCGATGTGGCCGGCTGATGTCATCGCTCGGTTTGTGGCCGAGTTGTATGTTGTACGATTGTTTTTATTGTTTTTAAAGTAATGTGAACATTTTTGCGTGCATTTATTTGTGTGTTTATAATTGTTCGAGTGTATTTGCGTGGGAATGTCTTGTGTGCAATTTGCCGAGTGTTTTTAAGTAAATGTGTCCCGTGCCTGCCTTAATAGGTGCTTCCTAACAGTTTGCTAAAATACTACGGGGGATCTTCATCTATATATGCCAGTGCAAGTCTGTGGGAAAATCATTTGCATGACATTTTTTTCCGTGTGGGTTTAAGGCTGGTCCCACCTGCTCCTACGTTTTCATTGAAATTTACACAATCCACTCGTATAAATCCCATCGGGAATCTGAATGGGGCAAATCCTGACCTATGTGACTTACACAATTGCATAAACTGTTCGATACTCTGTGCCCCCATGAACAGTGTTGTGAAACGAGGCTTCGGGAGACTGGCTTTCGCGCAACTTTTAGATGTTTTAGTGATAGGGCCAGAAGATCGCTGCCATGCGAGCCATCCTACCTGTTTTGTATGTGGCCAGGGTTTTCAGTACATTGCGCCTAGCTGTAAATGCTGTTGGTGTGCAGCAAAGGGAGCGTAATGATCTGAGGGGGTTTGCCTGCTTTTGGCTGTTTTTTTTGTTTAAGGCTGATTAGAAATGGCACAGTACATTGCCACGTCCGGTTAAAATTCCTGCACAAATTATTAGAGCTTGTATTTGATTTCAAACTGGAAATAAGTATGCCTGCGCATGAATTGGGGTAAGCAAATCAGTCCGGGAATGGTAAGGCAGAGATCTTGTTTCTCATTGGCCGAGTCATTAAGAGGCAATGAAAACTTATTTGGCTTTTAACTGATTTTAATTCGGAATACTGTAAAGTATCCCAAATGGATGTATATGTATATTTTGGATCGTAATTTTTATTTCAATAATTTCTACTGGAGCTTTAATTGGTATTTTAGGGAATGTCACGGTGTGATTTGATAATTGGCTCAAGGGAACATTAAGTTGTTTGTTACTTGGGCAAAATGCACATTGACGAGGGCTGCAATTATGTAATTTAGTTGTTTAAATTTGATTTAAAATGTTAAATTCATTTATTTGAGAAAACCCATTTACAGTAAAAAGCATTTGAAAATACTATCGACCAAGGAACCGTTGTACAAAAACTTTTCCAACACAGAACCCTTATTTCCCCATCTGGTACTGAAATCTTGTGACTTTGTTTCAGAAACATCATTTTCAAATCCAACACTAGGAGATCCACATTTGTAGACTGCCGTCTGCACATCTTAACTATTAAGTTTGAAGGAGTTCTGAGACTTGGTTTTAGAGTGTTAAGTCTTTTAAACGCAGACAATGGCAGGATGGAACAATGTGTAAAAAAATGTATACTGAGACAACACATTGGGTGGGTGCTTCACAGCTTGTAACCTGTGGCTCACAGGCACGTGTTGGGTCTGAATCATGTGTTGGGAAAGGCGGTCTGTGCCGATCT